GCCCTGTGTGCGTCCGTGTCACCCGCGTGCCTGTCCTCCCGGCGGAGAGCGCCGGGGGGGGGGGGGGGGGGGGGGGAACACAAGAAGATGAGTGCCATGTGGAGGTTTGGGTTTTTTTCCTCTTTAAATCACAGTTTTTGATGTACATTGAATCAAAATGTGATGTGTGAAGAGTGCAGGTGTGAGGCCCCCCACCTTCTCTTTGATCCCCAACTTGCTGAGCACCATTAATGAGGATCAAGGGGTTGCTCCAAAGTCAATCAAAGTACTTGCTACAGTGGATGCTGAGTGAGACTGACAAGCGTCCCCCACCACCAGTGTCTGGGTGTTTGCCCAGGGACAGCTTTGTCCCGGAGGCTTTATGGCATCATTTAACTGTGGTTTCACCATTGAGGGTTCTCTTCTTATTTTTTTCAAAGCAACTTATTCTAGTTTGCTTGTGTTAAGTAGAGAGAAGAGTAGATCAAGCTGCTTAAATGCAAGATTTTAATGTATTACCTTTGGTTTTGTCCCTGGAGGGCATTTAGAACTACTGAAACAGCTAACACAATGCCCCTGTTGTACAAAATGGAAAAGAAAAAGTGTATTAAAATAATGGTAACAAAAGGCTATTTGAAATGGACAAAAAATCTGTTTTATGAGAGCAGAAAAATATAAGCAGAGAAGAGCATAGGCTTATTAAGCTTGAAACAGATACTAAGAACTCTGGAGAAAGGAGAGAGGAGAATGACAACAAAATAGCTGCATTAATTTAGTGCCATGAGATGAAAGAAATTAGTTTTGATACCAGAATATAAGTCCTGGAAGAAGAAACTTTTCTTTGGATTTAAACATGCAGGGAAAAATATGGTGGCTATTCTTCAAATAAATATTGACATGGGCTGCACCAGATCTGGATGTCTAATTTGGAGCAGAGGTAAATGGTTACTTCTCAGGAAGCGCTGACCAGACCTGAGGAAATTATATCTATCTCATTTAACAAAATCATGAAACAAAAGGTAACTTGAGCAGATGGGGTATATACAAGTGTTGGTTTTATAACTGAAATATAAATTACCATAAGCTTTTTAAGACTGACTACTTTTTTTTTTTTTACTTCTAGGTAATTTTTTTCATACATTCAAATTAAACTTGAAGTAAATTTGGGCTTGAAACCATTTCAAAATGGGTTTCAAAACTTCCTGTTTGTGGGACCCATCAAAGTTCACGGAGGAAACCTCCTCCACACTAATAGTGCCTGTTCAGGTATGTTAAAGGATATTTCTGTGAAAGCAAGAAATGTGAGACCAAGATCCTGGCTAACAGATGAGGCAGTTCTGCCTTGTGTCCTTAATACCCTGTGCAGCTGGGACAGCAATGCTGTTCCTTTGTAAATGCAATCTGTATGACCAAATTCATAGTGGGAATTTGTATTCATGTAAAAGCGTGGTAGAAAGATCTGTCCTTGCTCAAATTTATGCTTGCATTTGTATGGTACTGTTCTTATTGAAAACAAGGCAGGGCTTGCTAAGCTGGTCTTAACTGAAACCACTTGTCCCGTGTGTTGCTTAGTGTGGATGCAGGATTTCTGCTGTGTATCTTGCGGGTGTTGTGCTGTGATTTCTGCTGTGTATCTTGCGGGTGTTGTGCTGTGCTGCATAACCTTAGCTGTAACCAGTGAGGCAGATGAAGTCAGCCTGAAATGGTGGGACTTAATCTCAGTAGTGCTAAAGCTGCTGCATGTGTCTCTGTGACGACAGGGTTTGGACCTTTGGCTGTGTCTTTTCCAGGGTGGGGGACCAAGAAAGGGAACTAACCATGAAATCCGCGGTGAAGAAGCTGTCGCAGCGTCCCCCCAGGCTGGGGTCCGTCAGCAGGCAGTCGATGCCGTAGGCGATGCCCCCGTCAAACTCCAGCTGCCGCTGCACTATCTTGCACTGTCTGTCGTTCAGGAAAAGGGCACCCTGAGAGGTGGGATGGGGAGAGGGGGGGTGTGACAAGTCGTGAACTAGTCTTCCTTGGGGCCAGGCTGAATCCAGGTCCTGCATGGGTGTTCAGGGTAATCCTCCCTCTGCTCTAAACCCATCTGGGGATCTATAGCTGAATGCTATAACATCACGGATGGGCAGATCTTCTGCCTTTCTTGAAGGGGACAGAGTATACCAGCCCTATGTCCACAGGTTAACCTTACACACATTTAGGCTTAGTCATGTTTTCAGAGGCAGATGCTTGCCAGGGATGGTGTGATACATTTGCAAAGAAAAATGTGCTGTTCTGGCTTAACAGGCTGCACGCATGCCTGCAATCTTAGCTTGTATAAGTGCTTACAAACCAAAGTTTGCAGATGCTGCATTCGTGAGGTTTCTGCCAAAGCCAGGTTCACCTAAATAGTTTTCCATTGTGTATTTCATTGTAGGAGAAATTAAAATGTGCTGGTATTTCAGTTTTGAGGTGACTGAGAGCTGTTTTGAACAAATAGCATCTTACGACACAGAAAATGACAGCTCCAAAGAGTCTTGCAAACCATCTAGTTTGCTGAATCCGTTGAGGTGGCTGCCCTGGTTTTGTGGCTGTTGGCACGGACTGGTGAGGACTGATTGAGTTTTGGTGCCACTGACCCTTTCTGGGGGCTGTGCACAGGCACAGTAGGGTCTGCATGAGTGGATTCTGCAGCAGGGGCAAGGGGTAAGTGTGCTGAGAGAGTGAACACTTACAATGTCCCTGTTATCCCCACAGCTAATGCTGAGGTTGGAGCCCTGCAGGGTCTTCAGTGAGGTGGAGACAGGCAACTGGTAGGCCATCACCTGGGAAGGGAACAGGGGAAATGCGCGTCTGGGCTTGCATGTCTTGGCCTTGGCAATGCTCCTAAAAAGCAAGGGCTTACCGCAGCGTCACGGACAATGTGGAATTTGAGGTACTGCACCAGTTTGTCAGTGTTGGACTTCCTGAAGAGGAAGTCCTGCTGCTCCTGTGGCAGCCCACGGATAGCTGTGTCTGTGGGCCAGAAGAGCGTGACGGGTTTGTGAATAGGATCGTTGATCAGCTCAAGCAGGTTGTTTTTCTGCAACATACCAAAAATTGGGGTGGAGGATTAATGCTCCATCTAAAACAACACTAACCCTATGGAGTGAATGTTTAGTATAGCTGGGATGCAGTGGCCTGTGGGCTGCCTGGTCACCAGCCTGCAAACACCCTGACTTTAAGAACCAGATGCCTGAGTTGAGCTGCCCAAGTTGAGTTAATGACTGAATTCTCAGAAGTGCTTCGTCACCCAGGGCTGCCCACTGAAAACCAGGCTGATGGCCCCGCTTTGGGCTCAAAAAGTCATACTTGGGTCAAAGCTTGGCCACGTAATTTGACATATGGTAAGACAGAGCTGAGTGGGGAGGGGAAAGGTGGCTGTGGGTCTGCTTGACATCCCACCCACCTCTGTGGGAGAGGGACCATGTGGTGACCAGGGTTGCCGTATACTGTGTTGTGAGCCCTTCGGCTCCACTGAACACCATCCTGCCACTAATGCCATGTGCCATGTCTGTGCTTTTGTCCTTAAAAAAAGTGTTTAAAACCTTTGCCAAATGGCTGCTGTCTCTTGTGTCCTTACCTCTAACAAACTGCTGAACAGGATGTACCCATGTCTGACTGCAACCATTTTAAGGCTTTCCTGCAAAGAAAGGAATTTCAGTAATTTAATAAATACATTATATGGGTATTTAAAAAGCAGATATTGGTTTGCTTCCCCCGTAAGTCACTTTTTGTTATGAAATCAATGGTACTGTAAAAGCCCTGTGCAGAAGTCCTCTTATATTGTTTGTAGTATAACTGTAATTCCTGAATGAATCTTAAATACAGCATTTAACTTATTCAGCAGTGTCAAATGATGCTTGTATAAGGTCTTTTTAGTATCATGGGGATTTTTTTTGTGACTTAGGTGATTTATATATCTAACAGTAACTGTGGAAAAGCTCCTGCACTGAGAATGGCGATGAGCTGCACATACCTTCTTAAGGGGGAAATCTTGCATATGTGATGGGACCAGAATTTCATTTATCATATGGATCACGCCATTTGTGCCAACAGCATCGCTGAGTATAATTTCAGCTTTATTGTTCAAAAACAGCGAGTTCTGGAAAGGCAATAAAAACACATTTTCTGTGGAACCTTGTGCGAGGGTGAGGGTAATGACAAATTTCTTTGATATGGTGAGCCCAGATCGTCCTTTCTTTGCAGCAAACAGTTGCTTCAGTTTTAAGAAATTGCCCTTTGCTTTTTCAAACTCTTATTGGGCTCATAAAGCCAGAGTCTGAGGATAAAATAACTTGTGTCAAAGCAAGGGTTGTACAACTCCACTCTTTGCGTAGCAGATAAGTGCTGAATGCTTCAGCTGAATGGGCAATCTTCTTTTAATGCTATTTATTTAATTTTGTGCATCAGAGGAAGAAAGGGAACCATTCAGGTTTTTTTAAAAAAAAAAAAAAGGCTGAATGAGAGCAGACTGTTTTATTAGTCTGTCCCCTGCCTCTTCATGTTCTGTTACCTGAGAGAAGCTGATGTGTATTGGGTCCCCGTGGAGAGAGGTGACATTAGTGATTGTCGTCAGGTCACTGTACAGCAGACTGGCACAACCTACCATATGGTACCGGAGGACTTGAGCCATCACTCCTTTGGCAATCCAGTCCTTGACCTGCAGCAGAATGTGGAGGAGTTGAGAAGCAGTTGAGCAAGGCATCTGAATCCAAAAACTCATGGCCATCTCACCAAAAACTTCTGGCCTTCTTACTTACTCGTGAGTCGCTGTTTAGTACATCTGTGTGAGGTACAAACAGAGTGAAAGGGCCAGGACCTGCAATATCTCTGATAGACAAGGCCTGCCAAAGTTAAGAGGACAAAGCATTAATGAGTCATTAATGCACGTAACGTCACGCAGTGATGGGGGCAGCCCTGCTGAGTGGGTGGTGGTGCCTACAGCCCCATTGCTGCTGCGCACTGGGTTCCCTTCCCTGCAGTGCAAGGGTGAGAGAAACTCTCTTGTATGGTGTGGACTTTCCTTCCCAGCCCCCTCTGTCACCTCTGCCCATGGGTATAAAATGGAAGATTTTTCTCTTGCTCTTTCGGCTTATAGCCAAGTCTCTGTTTCCTCTGCAACAACGAACAGGAGAAGAGGGAAAGCTTGCAACAAACACTAAGCATAGGGAGAATGGAGAGGCTTATTCTCTCCTGGGCAAAGGAGGATGAATAAACCTGTTCATCCTGAGACAGTCAAGCGTGGATATAGGCATGTGTTTGTATGTGTATTCAGCTGATACATGGTTGCTTGTACCTAGGAGTAGACTAATTACTGTTAGAGTAACGGACCTGGGGTATTGCAGGCACTCTGCAATGACCACTGACAAACTAAAATAAGAAGAAAGCTCTGCTAAAGTGAGAGGAAGCCATCTGTCTACCATGGTAGCAGAATCGAAGCTAGAATATGAGTCTTTGGACTAGCAGGCCAGTATACAGATTTGTGCTGCCCTGAGGCTCAGGGTAAATGAAGGATTACTACTGCCAGTCTCCAAAAAGCAGTGAGAACTGGTGGTGCACATTGGCTGTCTATCAACACACAGAAGCGTCCTGAGACGTTTCAGAGGGCCAACTGAAAACAGCGTCACAGTTTGGAAATGCAGCAGGGGTAGTAGAAGACTGGTATTTGTTCACATCAGACTTCAAGAGATGTGCTGGAAGATCTTGGACTGTTAATGGGTGAAAGCTTCAGTTTTATGCCTGGTCTGGAGGCCCTACATTTCCCTGGGATCTTGGTCTTGATCATTAATTCTCTAGAGGCTTTAATGGCAGTTAATATTTTAAATCGGAGCATCTCCAATATTAGTGACTGGTGATCCAAATCCAGTCCCAATTAAGTTGAAGGATGTTGGTACACGCCAGATTCTTGCCTGCTCCCTGCCCCCCTACACCCTTGAAGCAAAAAAAAAAAAGAAGTGGAAAAACCTCCCCAAGCCCCCTACTCAACCTTTTCTTACCTCTAAGTGGAAATAAAACCTAGATGTGTTGGAGTTCCTGAGAAGTTCCTGCAATCAAGAACAAGACTTTGTAACAGTGCTGCATATGTGAGGCAACATCTGTGGAGTGCAAACAAATGCAGCACTCGGACAAGACCAGGAACTTCTGGTTGGGAATAAATGCTGCCCATCTCCATTGCTCTTGTTCTGTTCTTACCTTGCTCTATCAAAGAACAGGTTTCTTCAAAACCTAAAAATACCAATATTAACTCCCTAGTACTGCAGTCATAATGACTGTCCATCAGTTTTTTTTGTCGTTCTTTGTTTGGTTTTTGTTTTGTTTTTTTGGCAGGTAACGTTATCTTGTGATCCTATTCTGGGTTTCTTGGACTGGAATTATTTCAAATTCTGGGGTAGATTTACCAATTTGTCCAAGAGAAAAACTGGCATGTTTCAAAAGATAACCATCGTATTAAATAACTATCTGAAGAAAAATAAGGGACAGGAAACACGTGCAGCACTTTACCTGGAAGATATTGCCTCGGCACTTAAATCCATCCCCAACGTAGTTGGGTCTGCAGGTGCAGGTCCTTTCTGTCAGCTCAGTGTCATTACAAATGGCAAATTCACTGCAGCCTCCATTATTCTTGTAAGATCAAAATTTAAAATATTTAATTCCTTCATTGCCAGGTTTACAAAACAATTCTAGTTCATCACTTTTTTTCCATGTATATAGCTTGGAAAGACTTAATCCCAATAGCTTTTTGAAATCAGATCTTACTGGAACTTCTCATGGTATATACTTTCTTGCAAACAATAAAGAGCATTTAAAGTTCATAAAAAATAACTCTGCTGCTATGCAGAGGATGCAGTTTTGATTCCCTCCTTACATCTTCAGTTTATGGTGCTATAAGGATCCAAAAGATTTCCAGGCAGGTTTTATCCTGGACCTTGGGGATAAGTCTTAGCTGTTCTGCCAAGGCAGTGTTGATGTATGCTGAAAGGAACTATTTACAGCTGTAAATCACTTTTGTGGTGCCAGGAGCCTGGATTTCTAGACTAGCATTAGCATAATTCTCTTGTTCTTTGTCTGATGGCCCAGGCCAGCTGGAACGGGGACCTGCCACATGTGCTCTCCTCTAAACCATATTCTGTCTGCCCACAGGTGCACCACCAGTGCGACCTAAGGCTTGGAGCACCTCACCTGGCCACCTGCTCCAGGAAGCTCTCTGTGCTAAGGGGAGATGTTCCTCACCCAGAAGCAGCATGCTGGGGTTCAGAGCTCTGCCCAGTTGCAAGTAGGTGCTCCCCAGTTAGCACCTCAGCTTGCAGATACATTTCTATCTTGGATTTGAGAGCAAATCAGGAAAAACTGAGAAGCCATCTTATTTTTCTTTCCTTGTGCTTGTTTCATGGTGTCCTTTCTGCTGCTGGTCATCTCGGGGATCCTTTCCCACAGACCATGAGTGGGAGCAGAAGCTCCTTTGGGAGCTACCAGCAGGACCTGACTTGACAGGCCATAGTGAGTCCTGGCTGCAAGTGGTGGGTTTGGGTTCACTTGCTGTTTATTTAGCTAGCTTTAGGTGAACTGTTGGTAATCTTGGTTTTATCATAGCTTCCTGTGAAGCTTTGCTGTACAGAGGTTTGGCCATGGTGAAGCCAGATTAGCCTCTGGTCTGACATAGATGCTTCTCAAGACTGTCTGTTTTTTATATATAATTAGCCTGGCATAATTAGTTAAGTGGAAGCAGAATTGCTGGAACAAGGCATAGGAAAAAGCAAAAGCATACAAAATCAGAGGAAGCAGCAGCTCATAACTTTGAGCTTCCCTTCCTCCAGCTTCTGTTTTTGCCCTTGCTCTTTCTCTAACCTTGAAAGGTTGCAGAGATGAAACTGCTGACAGGCCAGGCTGGGAGGGTGAGAATTATTGTCACTGCGCTTGGAGCACAAAGGATTAACGTGCATGGGAGAGTGGATATGTCTCTGCTGCAGCTTGCCAAGAAGCAGAGCAGTGTGCCTGGTGCAGGGCACCACGTTGCTTGTGAATTAGGTGGCTTGCAGTGTGTGAGCTAGCTTGTGTGAAATGAATGTAGCGAATTCTCAGCCTGCAGTGATAAGTGAGGGACAGAATGAGGAATGCTATGGGAAGCCCTGTGTTGTGTGTTGCGGAGGGAAAGGAAGGAGATAGTTTCTGTGGAGAATGCTTTTTTCTTTTTTCCTTCTACCTTCCCCATCAAGACAGGTTTCCATCCTCCCACCCCATCTCCAGTTTCACTATTGACTAACCCGCCTCTGCAGCTTGCAGTGTGGCTATCCTGTATGATGCACCCACAGGGATGCGCTTGGGATGCAGCCTATGCGTGGCCATAGGGGCTGTGGGGCTCTGTTCTTTGGCTGCTCCATGGGAGCTCTGCCCTAGGTGAGCCTGCAGGCTGGGAGTTCTGCTGGAAACACCTACTCCAGGGAGTCCAGGCACGCCCAGGCCCCTGAGCCTGGATTGCTCCAATGTGGATTTCACTGGTAATGACCCAGCAATGCCAGGACCCAATACTCTGATTTGGCTATATAAATTTCAGACTGAGAAGGGGTTGCGTGTGCTGACACTTTATCGTTTCTCTTGTTCAGGCTGCACAGATATGGTCCCACCATAGGGCCACACCAGAGGACTTAATGACAGGAGAATATTAAAAATAAATAGGGGTTTTGATCCACTGTAGGCTATTCTCTTTGGTTCCTAATCACCTGGCTCCTAGAACAGCTAGGACTGGCCCCTGAGCATCAACAACCTGAACCTTTGATTTTTTTTTTTTTTTTCCTTAACATTACAAGTAACATGCAATAGATCACACTTCTGCCTCTTTTATCATTTGAACCAAGCTCTTTAATTGTCTTGCCTAGAAGCTGCATTGTCGTCTGTCTGACATGTTGGCAGGCCCTCTGCATCCCAAACACAAATTTAGATGGTGGCTTTTTATGCAAATTCTAGCAATGACAAAATATCTGCTGAGCAGACATGATTTGCACTTCACCACTATGGACTAGGGTCTGTTTCTCTAGATCTGAAGTGCTTTTTTCAAGACTCAGTGATGAGTCTGGCCCTCACTTGTATTATGTCCAGGCTGTGGCCTGGGAGAAGCACTTACTGCATGTGTAGTTTCTAAAACAGTGACGACACTAAAGTGTGTACTGAACTAAGCACGTTTAAAAATTAGCGAAGTTAACGTAAGTGGATTCTGGGCATAGAGGGTCCCAGATCTACCCATCTGACTTAGTTTTGAATGCATACAAACCCCAAAAGCGTAATGATTATAACAAGACCTTAAATGCTCTCCTTAAATGGATACTTACTTGTGAACAGAGATTGATATATGTGCATCTTTTACCATCTCCAGAGTATCCCTTCAAGCAATTACATACTGCCTACAAAGCAAAACCAGAAAACTTGCATACATGGAAAGGTGTTTGACTTTTTTCAGCACACTTACACTTAATTTACTTTTTTGCCAGATTATTTCACAGCGATATGGTGTACCTCATCTCTCCCGCAGCTGTTTCTTAGTGAGTATGAGGAACCATAGACTGAGATTGGGGAATGACCATTTCCAAGAGGCTCTATCTGCCCTTTCTCTGCCTATCCATCTCTCATCTCTCTTTTGCTGTCCTGGTCATTTGAAATAACCCCTCTGACACCTGCATGCAGTCATCTTGCTGGCAAAACAGGTTAAACTCCTAATTTGTTTCCCTCATTTTATTTGCAGAGGTTGGTGTTCCCCTCTCTTCCCTTCCCCTGGTTTTTTTTGAAGTGATGAAACATATCTTCAAAACATATTTGGAATTGTGTCCTCATGTTATTGACAGCTTCCCATACAGTGGTAATGCATTTGACACTTAAGTCACGATTACTCTGTTTTGCACTTGCAGTTACCACAAAGGTGAAAAATTAACATGGCTGCAAAGAAATGACTTCTCTTCCTCTCCAATTCACTGCTTAATGGTTCTCAATTTAGAATTCACATTTCATATGTAGGAGATTGAAAATGCAAGGAGATTTCTGCAGCAGAAATAAAACTGGTAGGCAGTGTAATAGCAGTGGCTTAGGGATCTGTATGACTGAAAGCCCTACAGAAAGGAGATTCGTTTCTGCCTTATAAGTTTGGCTCTGCTGCAATGGGATTTTTGTAGTGGGGATTATTGCTCTGATGTTAACTATATTCCCATGGGTAAGGAAGTATAAATAACCATGTTGTAGCTACTACTTCTATCCCCAGTGAAAGTGTATGAAAGCAAATAGCCATCACCTGTCTTGTCTAGAGGGAATGGGGAAGGAGTGAAGTGGTTCTGTGCTCCCACCAGAAATGTACCGACTTGCAAATGACAGTCAAGGCAAAGAGTTAATTGATCAGGAGTGGCAAAAAGGGCTGGTGGTGTTATTGCCCCTCCTGTCCCTGGACAACTGGAAGGCAGGAGGTGGCCTCTGACTTCTGGTTGCCGTTTCCTGCATTGCTCCTGAAGAAGTACTGTTGTGCAGTGCTCGCTGGAGGCTTACAGTCCTGCCAATATGAAACTAGGGGGATGATAAGTAGTGCTGCAATCAGGGTGTTCAGCTTCTTCTGAAACCGTTATAAAAATAGAAACACTAATCTGTGTCACTTGATTGCCTAGGCCAATTTGTTTCTCTTTTCCCACCTTGTCCTTTTATATTTCTTTTTCTTTGGGGAGCGTGTGGTACTTCTGTATGGGAGACAGAGAACAGCAGAGGGGCGAGTGGATGCTGGTGTGCTGTAACCCCTATATGAGAACTATGATTCAGCCTGTTTTGTTTCCTTGATATGTCCGAGCTATGCTCGGAGAAGGGCTACTCTGAAATAGATTTTTTTTCCATGGACAGTTTTTATAACAAAAAAGAAACATCATCTGGCAAGACTTTCTAACTGACAGGTTTTCACATCAAAACCTCCCAAAGGAGAAAACCAACCACTTGAAACAGCAAAACACTGCTTTCCTCTGCAGTTTTGGATTTCTTTTACTGAAATTAATTTTTTCATGTTTGTCCACACTCCCTCGCAAATAACTTTTTGAGGGAAGCATATACTTTTCAGACTTTGTTATGAAATCCACTTTTCCATTTAAAAATGAAGTTGAGAAATCTTTTTTTACCCAAATGTAAACAGTTGGCCAGTCTTATTTTTCTGCACTGACAAAGTACTCACTTGATTGGGTCCAGTCTGTGTGCATTCTGCATTTCTATCGCATCCACCGTTGTTCTCCAGACAAGGGTTGATTTCTTTATAAAACAAAGAGTATAATAAAAAAAAGTGACTTCTGAAAACCCAAGAAGGGAGAATTTTAAGTAAAGTATACTAGGAATACAGATTTACGACAACTGTGAATGAATGATTCTCCTTCCCTTAGCTACTTAATACCTCAGTCTAGATCTTGCAGTTGTCTTCGTGAAGGCTAAAACCTGGCCATCAGCATTTCTAAAACCATGCCTGGGGAGGTATGGTACAACAGTGTCTAAAAGTCTTTACGTTTTCAATGGTCAGAGGAGCGTGAGTGTATCAAGCTGCTGAAGATGGGGCTATCCTTGTCAAGAGGCAGATCTTTTTTAATAAGCTTTGGTGTCACACCACACCACTGTAGTTGTGTGGTTTGCCACGTAGTATCAACCACATGGCATGTAGAGATGCCTTTGGTGTCAGGGCCTATAGTATCAGGAAACTGCACTTCTGGGTCATAGCGGAAGAAGGATCTTCCATCTACAGGAAAACTCACTCTTGTATCCCTCCTTGTGATAGATTGGGAACGCTTACCGATGCAGACTATTCCATCTCCAGTGTACCCAGCGTTGCAAATGCACGCTCTATTGCCAGGAGTTGTTCTTTTGCACTCTGCTTTGGCAGAACAGCCACCGTTGTTGGTCTTGCAAGCATCAATAGCTGAACAGTGACAACACAGATTAAAACAATGTGCTTAAATGGCTTTTTGCTTTTCAGGTTAAGGTGTCTCTATATTTTAAAGGGATTTGCTAACATCTTCTGAACATGAAACCTTTCTGATTTAAGAGGCCATAGGCTTCATTGCTGCCAGATATTTAATACATCCTATTGATTGCAAGAGGGAAAGCTGAGAAGATGCTTCTAGTCTGGAAGATAAGAATTCATCCAGGACTGACTTTAAGTAACTTCCCATCTTCTGATACTGCCCGTTCCAACCAAGCACCAAAAAAGGGACCTTCACGTTCTTCTCTAGATTAAATGGCATTGGAAGACTTCCCTTAGCTTGCCTTTTTCTGTACACAGATCAAATAGCCTTCTCTTGCAGGAGGTCTAGAGTGCAATACCACCCGGCCCCCTCCTGTGACAAAAAGTTCTGGTTGTTATTCAGATGGATACTCATGGCGTTTCTGCAACTCTGGATGAGTCAAAGGCTGGCAAATTGAGCTCGCTTGGGTTTCCCTGAGAGCAGGGAGGTAGCCTTTTCTGGCCTTCAGTGTGAATCAAATCAGCCCAAACACTGTTTTAGTTTTTACCTCAAATGACCCCAAATTGCTGTTTCAGCAGCTGTAACAGCCAGACTGGGGAGATGACTTGTCCTGTAACTGGTTTTGCCTGGGAATCCTGTATAGGGGAATAAGGGTGGGTGCAGAGCCGCTATGGGTGATCTGTGTCACCCAGCTCTTCCTGCACATGGGGACTTTCCCACCAGCAGATTAAAATGGATTTGGTTGGTTTGTGCCAGTAGAGAAAACGAAAACAGCCAGAGTAAGAGTGCTAAAATCTTGGATTAGGACCCTGCCAGCCATTGTAAGTAGACAAATATGCTTCTGTTCCCAAGAGAATTAGTATTTTAATCAGGTAAAGATTGAGTAAAGCAACTAAAATTAATTACAATCACTGTAGCTGGAAGCAGTCTATTTTGTAAGTCTGGACATCCCAGACTCTTGGAGGGACACCTAGGATAAGCTGCTATTGCCCCTTTCTGAAGGTCTCGCAGATCTCTCTGGTCTAAAGAAGTTGATTTTGCCACCCCAGAAGTCTGTGCAAGTTCAGAAAGCTGAGGAAATGGTAGGGCTATACAGCTTCCAATAGCTGGAAGTGCTATTGTACCCTGAATTGGACTTTCTTTGCTGGGCTTTGTTGGGAAAAGGAGTAAAAGTCATAATCCAGGTTTCGTTATTCTGCGAACAATGGGGCCTGGGTTGTGCATGGCACGTTCCCTTTTCTCTGGTCTCCCTTAGCACAAAGCCTTGCAACTTGGAGATTTTGAGACCTTTGTTTGCTATGGATCTACACCTGTTGGGCTCTTACTCGTTTTGAGCAAACTGGCAGCAATTCCTGTTTGTTTTTTTTTTTTTTAACTGGTGCATAGGGAAGTGCTCATTTCTCACCAGCTCCACTGTGACCACAGAGTGCTTCAAGCACGTTTTTTTTTTTTTTTACAAAAGGGAAAAAAAAATCCACTTGCCTGTGCAGAACGTGCCGTTCCCCTCGAACCCAGCTGCACACTTGCAATAGGCAGTGCTATTTGATAGGAGAAGGCAGCTAAAGAAGTAAAAAGAGTGAGACGACATTTAAAAAAAAAAAAAAGAAAAAAAAAAGTCAGGTCTTCTGTACAGCCCTTGTTTTTGTGCATTGTTCCGAGGGTAATGTCGCATAGAAATAACAAGGCATTTAACTGTACAGTGTGATGTAGTTACAACCATAAAAATGAACCTAGTCAGACCAAGGTTTCCAAATGCATTTTGGATGTATTGTTTTAAGTATTAAAAATGCATGCTTTGGTCATCAAGTGTCCTATTTTCTCACACAAAGCTCCAGAAGTTGCTTGCCTGCTCACCCAAAAACTGTGCACAAATTTTTGGTTGCGTGCACACAATTTGAGGGACTCAGCAGCGCTGATGTGCAGGGGTGGGAGCCAAGCCAGACTTGAGTCCCCTGGGGTCAAGTTTGGGTTTTTTTTTGGACAGTTTGGCCTTCTGCATGCAAGCGTGGGTTCACTGCCCCATGAGCCCTGTGTAATACAGGGATTGCTCCCTGGCATCAGCCAGGGACAACGTCCCAACACGGCCAGCACAATTGCGTCCTTCCCCCCCACAATCCTGCCATGCCTGTACCTATCCTCGTACCTACAGGGGTAAGGCGGTGGATGAATAAGGCTCAAGAGAAGAACAGTCTGCTGCTCCTGTCAGAAACCCAGTTTTGATGCCAGCATATGTGGGATCCCGTGAGCAAATTTGAGAGTGGAGTTTTGCCAAAAAAGCCTGGTAAAATACCACTGCTGTGAACTGCAGTTCACAAGCACATGGGGGAGAGAATGATCTACATCTGGGAAAAAGGGGGTTTGTCCCTCTGGCTTCTCTGCTCCTACAGAAGAGCTGTGGCTGAAAATCTTTCCAGCTACACTTTCTTGTTCTTTAAATGTCTTGGGTAATGTAAATCTTGCTGTCAGGTCAATGACAGGTGGCAGGTGCACTTCAGTAAATGGAGCAATGGGGGTGACTTTTTCCTTTGAAAACTGGTTAGTGTCCCGAAACTGGTGCTGGACCACCAAAAGCATTATTTATTCTTTGATGTGAAGAGGAGAGCTGTTTCTTGTCAAATGCAGCTTTCTCTAGTGAAGTCCCTGACACATTTCTCAGTTGTATGTGTGCTGGCAGATGGGGGGAATAGCGGGTACAGATAAAGCCCACCTCAGAAACCCACTTTTGTGAACAGCCTTGCCCTGCCCTCTTCCTCTCTTTAGTGCTGCAGGCTCCATTTCTTTGTATGCTGCACAGTAGGATGTCTCATGGGTGTGTTTTTATTTTTCTCCCCACAAAATCTCACTTGTTTCCCCTTTAAAATTGCACATTTTGAACTTGTTGGTCTAATCACTGAATATGTTACATCAATATCACCCCTTATCTCTGGCAGAAAACATAAGTGTTATCTATGCTGCTGAGAAGTTCTCATAAAGAGCAAGATGGACTAGGCTTTTTGCTTGCAAGAGATCCCTCTTTTCTCCCCCCTCCTCTAAATTAGTGGATTCCATACATACTTAGCACTGGTATGGCATGAGGCGTTACATTCATCATCTTTGATTTCTGCAAGAGGTTAAAAAAAAAAAAAAAAGGGGGATCAGAACCTTTCGGGTCAACATCCTTCTAGTTTCCCAGTCTTTTGCTCCCGCCATGGAGAACTGGAGTCTGTTATGAGTTCTGTACCAGACAACTGCTCTCTGTCTGTATAGAGACTCCATCTGTATAGATCAGTGGGTACCACTTAAATTCAGTTCTGAGGAAGAGACATGTCAACATATTCCCAGGAAAACATTTCACCTGTTGTCATTTATCTGTATTTACGCTGGTGACTTTTGCACATTATTAGTTTATTTATGTAAGTTTTCCAAAGGAACTGAAATTTGCTCAGATGCAAAAACTATACCAACTCTTTAAAGTTCATTTCATTACTATTTTTCTCCTCAAGCAAATTTAAAACAGATATTGAATGCTATTATTAACGTGCTTATACTTTTTTATTTTATACTATTATATGTATAGTTCTGAAATAGTTATTTAATACATTTTAATTATGTCTAACTAAAATATAATTGTATTGCATATAGGAGCTGTATTAAACCTACACAAAATGATTTATTTGCTAATTAATCTTTATTGTATTAGCAAGAACATAATACCTAGTGTTGTATAGCTAAATCAACCTATTGAAGCATTTGAGAGGCTTTTGATCAGAGGATCAAAATGTGCTAGGTAACTCTGCAAAATATATAGCCTTAAATAGGATATTCTTTTGGGACAGATACAGGGTGATACAGTTAGAGAACTAGTGAAGTAAGGTGTTTAAGTCTTGAGCAGTATCGCAGCTGGCTCTCTATTAATAATGGTAATTAATTGCCATAGCACACGAACATCACCTGTATTCCATTGCATGCGGGAAGCTGCTGGGTATTTGGTAGTGCACTTGGACCTCCTGCACTGGGATCTGATCACAGCTGCTGCTGTGGCATTTCCTGAAATGCTCACTTTTCTCCCCAGAAGAAAAAGGAGGGGACACTCACCAGTCTCACATGTTACTCCTCTCCAGCCAACATCACATTCACAGGAGCCGTCCCCGTCAATCCCGCTGCTGCATTTCCCATGGACGCAAGTGCACACTGTGGGGAGAGATGGGAGGAAACCATTGCCTGTGGGCAGGGTAGCAGAGTGCGCAGCAAGGCAGCGAGGGGAAGGAAGGGGAGGAGGATGGCCCAGATATCATCTGCTGATGGCACCTTCTGCTCTAGGCTATTTCAAGAAATGTTTTGGCTTGTGCCTATTGGCTTCTTCCTACAGGATAAATCTAAATTCAAAATATGTTATCTTTCCTCTGTTCCCAAATAAAGGGACTGAAACTGTATTTTAATGGAAAAGCATTGGTGAAAAAGCAGTGCTAAAGAGGATTATTGTTGCTGGATGTTGTTCTAAGCCTATAGTGTGCCAGAGTAGGAGGCACCTTCTCCAAACAAGGGAGTAGAGAGAAAATACCATAATGGGGAAAGAAAAGGGGTTAATGAAGTTTTTGAGACTGGCCTGTTACTCTGAAAGTGATGTACCTTTCCAGGATCTAGAATGGACATGGTTAGAAGACCTAAGGGGAAGGTTTTGATATCTGACAAGACCAGCAAAGGTGCCTGTGTGGTTTGGGGATGCTCAGTACCTTGATCGCAGTTGCGGCCGTATTTGCCTTCGATGCAGCTTTCGCAGGCTGTGCCAACAAACCTCTCTCCGCACTCGCAGGCGCCTGTGCCGTTGATGCCATCCAGGCAGATGCCGTTTCCGAAGCAGGCGTTCCCTGCTTGCCCTGGGCAGGGCTGGCACTGCTGTCCGAAGAAACCTGCGCAGCACTCCCTGGTCTGGAAACCAAGAAATGCCATGCTGAGGGTCACAATCAGGGTAGCAAGCATGCGGCCGCTGGTATTGTCTTTTGGGATGGCTGCTGGGTGGAGGTGAACTATAGATCTGGATTTTTGGCAGTGCTTCAGCTCTGCTGGTCTCTGGCCATGCTCCTTACTGTGCCGGGGCTCAGGCTGTCACCCCAAGTCCTTGGTGGGACCCAGGTGCCCTCCACCACCCCAGGGAAAGGTGGATGGGATTGCTAGGGCCAAGCATGGGGTTACACTTCCCAAACCTGTGCTCCCTCTGCACCATATCAGATCCCAGCCCTTCCTATGCTGCAGCCACCAGCAGCCTTTAACCTTCCAAACTCTGCTGCATCCAGAATTAAAAGGCCTATAGATATGTTGTCAGGGACCGCCTTGACATGCTGTGTGTGTTTAGCGGGGATTACAAGGAGGGTGAAGTTCAGGGATGGGGGTTCCTGGCTTTTATTGTAACAGAAACGGTCTGCTCACAATGATGGTTTTGGCACACTTCAGCTGGCACCCGATCTGGATGGTGTACGTTCTCATGTTGTTTTCCGAGAGGATGCAGTATTTCTTCTCCCCTGCCTGAACAAAAATTGGAGAAATGGCTCCACTTCTGAGTAGTATTGATCAGCTACTTTCAAATGTTTTTTTAAAAAAATGGGTTATTAACTTTATGCATGCTGCGCACTCACATGTTCACAATGAAAATGAAGGCAATACTTTTGGAAATAAAAATGCATTAGATAAATGATTTTTTTGCTAGTGATTAAAGATGTGTCTAATACTGCCTTTGCTCAGAATTGAATGGAATTTTTTTCTGAAGTTTGATAAACGTTTCTCTTTTTTTCTGACACGTTTCCTGTTCTTCCTAATTCCTCTTGGAAAACTGAGTGCCAAAGTTCTGCAAAAACAGTTGTCGAAACTTTATCTTCCAGGTCTGAACACAGCTGGGAAAGATTGCTTGCAGAAGAAGACTTGCTGGTCTCATTGTACGCTTGTTAGGAGATTGAGATAAGCATCCATCCAGCTGCTCATTGTCAAGAAAATGTTAATGTTTTTGAGTTTTACTCATGAGCACTTCAGCCAATTACTTTAATAGGGTAGATGGGACTTGATCTGCTTTGGAATCTTATCACTGGCATAGTTAATTATAAAGGCAAATATGCTCATATAATCCCAACAGAGGGGCTTTCCCAGAGAAATTTAAATGCCAAGAAACTCTAGGTCTTATCATAGTTGACAGGGACCTGCTAAATATCTGGAGTTCTCATGCATTGGACCTGGGCACCCAAAGTATAGTTTCCAAGTCTCCTTGTGACCATAACTCACAGCATATTGCTGGGGACAGGTTGAGTTTACCCTTCTGTACATTTCTGACTTGAATGGCTAAAAGCTGCCTCTTTAATTCCTCCTGTAGCAAGTATACTCCAGCCCATGTTCAGCTCCCTCAGTTTTGCATGGTGGAGGTAACCTTTGCAGTTTGAGGAGTCTCCAGTTGTCCCAATACATACTAGAAACTGGTCTTTCAAGATAAAACTACCTTTAAGCTGCCCTTGATTCTGCTACCTTGCTCTTAGGGTGGATTGAGTTTATTGAGTGTAAGCAATGTGTGTAGCAGGCTGAAGTAGCTATGATAAATTTTGTTGAAACTGAGGCAATTATATTAAAACCAGGATTGAATGCATCTATGCTCTGTTTTGATTAAAAAAAAAAAAAAATTAGCATTAATGATGGGATACTTACTATTTCTTTTGTTCCTGGGGGACAACTTGATGGCTGTGGACAACTTGTGCACTTTTCCTTAAGCAACACAAATGGGAGGTAGTTAACTGACTGTATAGAGCTGCAGACACGTTGTTTAATAAAAAATGCATAATTTCCAGCCATATTTCTAAACCTAGCCCTCAGGGTGCCTAGTCAGGATAATCCCTTTGGTAAAGGTGGTGAGGGTAGCTGTACTGCTCAGCAAGGAAGAACACCCCTACCAGCGGGTCTGTAGGGACACCCCATGGGAAAGCTCTTTTGGATATTTTGCTTTGCTCTTCTAAAGTAATGCCTCCCAAAGGCCTCCCCGTTGAAAGCACAATAAGAGGCAAATCTTGAGGTTGGACATAGTTTGCCTGTGGTACAAGGGGGCAATAGCAGCTTGGAAATGGAAAACTCATACAGTGTATATGTCCTGTGTTATCTACGTGTGTGTGACTTATTTGCACATTTAAGGTCAGTTTCGGTAAAATGCTTAGGTGTATATTGTACCTAATATACAAGGTTTAATATTATTCCTGTTTAGGTAAATATGTGCTTAGTTTTAGTAAGGCTTAAATGAATGTTTAAGTATGTTGCTGCATTTGAACATAGCAGGAAAAATAATTTTCTATGGGAAAACAAAGGACTATGTGTGATCCTGGTTAGTATCTGACAGAGCAAAGCTGGGGGAAAGCCTTGAGTGAAATACAGTCCCATATTTGAGTGTATCCCAAGGAAAAGAATTAACCTGCAAAAGTCCATGCCTGTTAAATTTGCTTTAACTGAAGCACAAGTCTCACTTTGTCTTCCTTGTCTAGTTCGTTGCATGCTCCATAAAAAAATGGAGGTACCTGCCTGTTTGCTGTCCTGTTTGACTCAGGAGAAAAGGCAAAGGGAACCTTTCTCTGCCAGTTTAAGGAAACCACATCTTATTCTTTAAAGGAATGTAAACCCATTTATATTTCATATGTAAAAGGAATGAAAGAAGGAGAATGTTTTACTCAGGGCGTGAGGAATTAATGTGTATTTGCAGTAGTAATCTACACCTGGAATGAAAAGAAACATTTTTCCTTACTAAAACTATTTTATTTTCCAGTTTTTTTTTCACTCGTTTACTTTATAAACGAGTGGTCTAGCTAAGAAGATGTGTTTAGAATAGTGCATTACTATTATTTGCTGAAAATTAAAGCTCAGGAATTGCTTATTCCTGTGCTACTCTAATTATGTTTTATCTAGGCTGTCCATACACTGCAGGATCAAAGCAGTCTTAATAGGTGCTAAAACTCCGGTAGGAATATCCTTTGCGGAAAATGCATACGTTCCTTACTGGGAAATACAGTGTCATGTATCCCTTACATTTTAGTTGTGTTTGCCTATAGATATCTCTGCTGGACCTTTAAACATCTACACGAACAGAGCCACTTACGGTGATCATGGTGTTATTTGTATCACATCTATTCTTCTGGATTTCCAGGACTTTTCCCAAACCATGAATAATTCCTTTGTCTGTTGCAACATTTGTATAGCTTATAGGTGCATCGTTTATGAATAACTGCAAAAGAAATACAATCAGTTAGCAGCAGAACTGTTTAGTAGCTTTATGGTAACTGCAGCAGTAGTGGGTGAAAGGAGTAATGTACAAGCCTCACTTCAGGAAAACTGAAGAACTTGCTCACATCCCAGTTTTGCTGTGTTTAAGAGCTTCACTGGACTGGAGGGCATGAGAGGACATGCAGTCTGTTAGTTTCTTAGCATAGGATTTGACAGAGCAGCTTTTTCCACCATGGCGTGTAAAGGTTTTGAAGAAGGAGCCTAAAGCAAGCCAAGAGCTGGGTTTGCTGTCTGTGGGGGATGATGGGCTTCAGGGAAGACCTCCCAGCAGCTGCTCCTTCAAGGCAGACTTTCATCATCTCACTGCTACCCCACACTCCCATTGTGCCCTCTATCAGCAACAGCCCCAGGAGCAGATATTTCTTCCAAGGCTCTGCTGTAGGCAGAGCAAAAAGCAGGGCCAAAACTGCTTTGGTGAGAAGCTTTATGTCCTCCTTTGCCTATGCTTGGGGGGAGCTCTGGGATAGAGAAGGAGGACCAAGTTCCCTTCCTGGCTGTGCCACGGAATTGGGTGTGTTGTTTAATCTTGCTGTGCCTGATTTTCCCATGTGTGGTGTTGAAAAGCAATTCATATTTATTGTTAAGTGCTTGAGCTCTTAGGCTTGAAAGTGGAGTATATCCACAGAAAATAGAATTGATGTTTTATAATTGAAGGCAGGTTTCTAATAGGTCTTGGAAGTCATATTAATGACCGCTTTGCAATGCAGGCTTGTAGCTGCTAGAGATGCACATAAAATCATATAGAATCATAGAATCGTTAAGGTTGGAAAAGACCCTTAAGGTCATCAAGTCCAACCGTTAACCTATCGTTGCCAAGTCCACCAGTAAACCATGTCCTCAAGCACCAGGTCTACCCGTCTTTTAAATATGTCCAGGGATGGAGCCTCAACCACTTCCCTGGGCAGCCTGTTCAAATGTCTGACTACCCTTTCAGTGAAGAAGTTTTTCCTAATATTCAACCTAAACTTCCCCTGGTGCAGCTTGAGGCCGTTTCCTCTCATCCTATCGCTTGTTACTAGGGAGAAGAGGCTGACCCCCACCTCGCTACAACCTGCTTTCAGGTAGTAGTAGAGAATATCCACCACAGTAGCTTCTAAAATGCAATGCTAAATGAGAACAGCATAACTGAGATCGAATTCAATCAAATGTCCCTTCAAGGGTGACTTCGAATAAAGCTGGTCTGAGACAGACATTGCATTTGAGTGACATCTTTTGTGCTATTAAGTCCCAGAAGCTAATGTGGGGTGCACAGCTCCTTTTGACTGCATGTTAGTTTAAAGTTGAAGCTGGATTTGTAAAAAGCAGGAAACCTGTTTCTCTGAGCAAGTGCAGACAGCAGTACCTGGCTGTTGTGGAGGAAGAACCCAACCTGGTAGGAGAACCCCAGCATGGTCTCCCTGTGCATGCCGTTGTGCAGGTCGTTCTTCAGGAGCTTCTCATCCAGCACAATGTGATAGCGGATTTGGCCTTCATCCTGCAAATGCACAATTAAATTCAGAGTTATGTAACAAAGCACGGACAGTTCTTTGGGATAGCTTTTCCCACAGGGTATAAGCCAAACATAGATTGCCTGAACTTGAGAAGCTTCTCTAGCTGGCAGGTGATTTCGTATTTCTTGCTGCAGAGAGTCTACATTCCTGTCATAATGAAACTTTATTGACTATGGCGGATGGAAGGCTATTGAACTGGTGGGACCAAGTTTTGCTTGTGCCTGGTGGTGTGTCTTTCTGTGTACAGGGCTGGCTGACAGATTCAGGGAAAAGTTAGTAAGGTGATTTTTTAGGACTCTGAACTTCACGAGTTCATTTCACATCAAAAGTTGCATATACATGAATGCTTTTATAATCTTCCCCATACCCATTCCTTCTTCCTTTGTGAATCCATGAATGACCTATGGATGACCATTTACAGCAGGATTTTTTTTTTTTTTACTCTTTAAGGTCATCTTCAGTCAATAAAGTGCTAGAACCATACCTGCTAATTGGAAAGTTTTCTATGCATTATTGCTAGAGTATATTCATTTTTCATTGAGGTGGTGAAATTATTCTCTGTATATCAAAATTTTGTGAGGGCTTCCCAAGGCTTCTGCATCTTGTTCCAAAGCAGGGGGCTCCCAGAGCTCTCCCTGACTTGGAGGAGGAAGCAGAAAGGGGATATGTTTGTGAGAGACTTGTAGATGTGAGTGAAGCTGGGGCATTTGGAGGGTTTAGGAGCTGCCTAGACAACAGATATAGTGCTGCTGAAGCTGTATGTCTTTGCAATAAATGGTGCTTGTAGGAAATCCCATTGCCTGCTGTCCCCTTGTTATGAACATTCGTACTGCTCCTTGACCTTCGGCTCCTTCAAAAGTGTGTGAAACTGTGAAACAACCCCAGTTTGCAAGATTTGTGATGTTGCCTGGCTTTGCCCACAGGGTGAAGTAGTGGTCTTTACATCTCATAGGGTGGGACTCATTCTGCTTTGTTTTCCACAGATTTGATGAAGAAATATTTGCAGGCAAGAAGGTGGGAATTAAGATAGAGCTAATTTATAAGGTGTAGACCTCCATCAATGTCCAACCCTATTTAATCCTCCTGACTTGAATGCTTTGGAGGAAAAGTTAACTCTCATGCATCTCCATTTCTGTCTTTAATCACCAGCAGAGTGAGAACAAAACCTTGCTTCTAGCGAGGCCAAGAAATAGGGTCTCTTCCCTCTGTGGCAGAATTCTCCCGAGGTGTTTGATGAAGAAGACAAGGCTTAGGCAGGCTTAACCTTATGGTTGTTTTCTGATTTTCTTTGTCAGATTGCCAGATGAAGCAAGGTTGGGAGTATGGAAGAAAGACAGAAGAAATATATTGGTAAGTGGTGGAAATGAAAAGGATTTCTGTGTGTGTGTAACCCAAATCCAACAGGACTGATGTCTTAAAGCTACCTATGTGTCTTTCAAAGTTTGTGATAAATGCTTCTTATAGTCATGCGGAAATGGTGATGTCGTGTCATGAAACTAATTAAAATACTGTTCAAAAGTCATTTGAGCAGACGTAGCTTGATCGTGCATGAATTCTTCTGGTGAGGCAGCAAGTGGGACTTTTGCTGTGAGTCTGCTGGTTGGTGATAAATGTTTTGGGACGAGTCATTTGAACCCTGTACTCCTCAGCTTCCTGGCTGTAAGTGGAGACCATGAAAGTAGGGACAGGATGTGGCAGGGTAAATATTTATGGAAGAGGCAGGGAAGTATTAATGTCATTGAGCAAGTCATGGGTGAAGCTTCCTCTGCAAGGTGTGGCTCTCGATACACGTGTTTGATAAAGCTGTTTCAAACTGGAGCAAATGCAAAGAAGGGTGCTGGGATGATGCAGAAAATGGATAGCTTATCTTGGGAGGAGACCGACAGGACTGAGAAGGCTGTTTGGCCTTGTGAATACGTCAGGCACAAATGCCAGAGAGAAAAAGTTATTTCAGCTAAAGCATATTCCTGGCGTAAGAATAAAGGGATATAAACTGGCCAGAGGTGTGCTGTCAAAATAATATAAACTAGCTCTGGGGATGAGGACTGAGGTCAGCAGGGCAGGTGGGATGGACATGTCTGTGCCGGTGGGAGGAGCTGGTAGCCAGGTCAGGCCTGAGCCTGGCGTGGGGCTCCTGGGAGTGGGCAGCAGCAACGGGGTTTGCCCAAGGAAACTTTTCTAGCCAGGAGAAGCCAACGGTGCTTGTAAACTGGGATTAGAAATGGTCTGCGGAAAGTGGCTGGGCAATAGCAGTCCTGCAGGAGTGACAGGGCAAGCATCTGGATAGTTTTAAGGAAGAGTCAGAATATTTTGTGGAATTATTAATGATGAGGTTGCCAGTGATGACAGGGGACTGGACTTGTTCACCTAGGAAACGCATTTCAGTGTTATTTCTGGTCATTCCTGTACTGATCCTCTTTGCAAAAAAAAAAAAAAAAAAAAAAAAAAAAAAGTCTACTGATGAAATGTCTTGGATATTATCAGCATAATTTTAATCTAGAGAAGGACAAAACCCAGACCAAATAGCTAGGTTCTTCTAGCAAGCCAGGAAAATATAGATGGATCCATCCCTCCTCACCTCTTCTGGTGTTAAAAACAAAATAAAACCTACTGGATTTCTGGAAAACAAATCCCTCTTCCTATTTCTGTTTCCTCTCAATCCATCCACTTGAAACAGAAATGAGATACTAAGGAGCTAGAGACAAGTCTTGTAAGTAATACATACCAGAGTAGCAGACTTTTTATCCCTTAGGTAATTTTCTATGGCATCATTATTTGGGGCAAAGACTGTGTATGTGTTTGCAGCTTCTATTTCACTTGCCAGGCTGTATTCCTGTTGTGAAACACATAAAAACAAATCAGAATGACTGCTGATAGTCTGATACCAGTCTAAATGCAAACACAGCAAAGAACTGCTTCTGTTCTTAAAAGGATGTGAAAGCTTACAATAACGTAGCCTCTGAAAATGGAGTAATCGGGCATTTGCTCTAGGCGGGCCAGCAGCCTCGGCATGACGGTGCTGCGGAGGGGGGTCAGAACCTGAAAAGGGAGCAGATAGCCCACATGTGCACACGCTGTGCTAGCAGCTGCAAGGATCAGATGCAGGAGAAAATGCTGTCCTGCGCGAATGCTTTTTTCCAAGAGTTGTTAATTATTTTCCACTGCTTGTGGTGCAGAGGGAAAAAGCTCCCTATGTGGCCATATACCTTATCAATAACATGTATGATCCCGTTTGTGGATGCGATGTCGCCAGCCACAATGCGAGCGCCCTCGAGGGTGAGGTTCTGAAAGAAGGAAAGGAGAAACGGTTTGCTTTTGCCATCGTGGTGGCAGTGTTTTCCTGGTGGTTCATGCTGTGGATTTCCATGCCTTCCCAAACGCTTGCCTGGGGCTCCACCATGGCTCCGCTTATGCCAGCGTGCACCTGCCCTCGGGGAACTGCGTGTCGGAGAGGCGACTTTGGCACTTGGTGCTGCTCTCTGCGCGCAGACCGGCAAAGCCATGGGGTCACTCACACTGGGATGGTTATTTGGGGCAGGTGCGCTCCCCGTCCCCCACCCCCCCACGGCAGAATGAGCTCCTGTGCTGATTTAAGTGCTCCTGTGTCTGTGCAGCTTTGAAGGACCCCATTCATGATTTTTCCCTCAGGGAAGGGAGGCAAAGGGAACTTTTCCCTCCCTTAATGGGGACAAAGTGCTTAAACGTGCCATATGGATTCCCAGAAAATCCTCCTCAGAACATGGAGTACTAAATAAAGAGGCTGAGGGAGAAGCGTTGTCAGTTGTAGTTATTTACCGTTAAAAATACCGTCCGGTGGTTTGGGACTATCACATTGCACATGCAGACATGTACACGGTATCACTGCTTCTTCCTACCTTCCCTGTTCCCTAAAATAAGTTATTGGGTTTCCTTGATGCTCTTTGTCTTAAATTAGTTCACACAGGCTGCTCCAGGAAGGGGCTGCGCTTCCGTTTGGCTACGAGATTGTCCAGCAATTGCAGCAGCTACTGGGACATTAGGAATAAATAATATTGTGAACAAATTTCAGCTAGGTAAAGTGGTGGAGAAAATCAAGTTAATGTTTCTCCCAGAGGGCCCAATATAATTGATCTCTTCCTTTGATTTTATGACATGGTCTTTTTTTAAATGCAGGTACATAACGTCTGTGTGGTTTTGTAAAACAAGAAAGGTAGTGGCAGTGATGGTCAGGCTTTGGTGTATGATACCACAGAGGTTTGCAGGTCATCTCACCCCATTTTCTTTAGACAAGTGTAGGAAGTTGCTCTGTAGAGATGTTGGCAGCGTGTCGGAGGATGATAAATTCTGGAAATCAGCAAAGCTGTAAGCTCCTGTCAATACATGATACCTAAAGGAAATTAACTGAATTTAAAGGTTTTGTATTTTCTTTCTTTTTTTTTTTTTTTTTTCAGATCTATATGCTTAGTGTGTCTAAAACTGTGGTTAAAGCAGGAATTGTTTGTGCAATACCTAGTTCAGCTATGTTCTGATCTCAGCTTGGCCTTTAAACATTTCTGACATAATACAAATAATGTCTTTGTTTTCAGTGGAGTTGCTACAGAGATTTATACCACTGTAACTAGAAGGGGAATCCTGTGTCCCTCCCTTAAAAATGTAAGAGCTGTCTTGCTTTAGAGACTTAGACCAAAGTCTTGTTTGGAATGGAAAGCAATTCATTAATACACCTTCCCCCCCGCCCCAACCCAACCCAAACCCATTAACATACTTCAGTAGAGTTGGGATGTTACTTTTTGACAACCAAAAGGCTTTCTCATCTTCATCCATGTTTTCAATTGCTTGAAGAGAAGGCACGAGGACAGTTAGGTTTGAGGTGGTGGACAACACAGAGTTTATCTCAGCCTCCTGCATGAAAGCAAAAAGCGTAAAATAATTAATCCCGAGGACGATCTATAAATAGCAGCTGGTGACTTTTTAGCAAGGTGGAGTATGTGACGTGCTTTGTGACCGGCCTGGAGAGGAAAAACTATTATACTGAGCAATGACTTGAAAAAAAAGTACTTAGAGCTGTATAAAAATGGTAAATGAGTGTCTGTTTTTTACAGAATAGATTGCCAGCATTTAAAGGGCAGAAGCAATGTTTAGGCCAGAATTGTTTTTTATTATGAAACACATACATAGCCTCACACAAAAGTTAGTCTGTCTCATGGATTCTTTTTTATACGCTTGAATGTTAAAAAAAGAAAAAAAAACCATGGTCATAAATACTACTGGTTACTGATAACTTCAAGTAACCTGCTCTTACAGAGCACTCCATGCTATTTAATAGACAGAAGGATTATGAACTATGAAATAAGAAACCCACATGACACAATGTTCCCATTTGGAATAAGACTATTTAACATGGCTGGGATTTTTCAAGATGTCCAAGGGATATCTGTGCCCACTAGCACTGCAGTGGGGCTTGCTGCTGACAGCCCTAATTTTAGATGGGGGATGTGGGCTCTGTAGTATGCGTGGACTGATTCATCTTCCATATGTTTGTGTCTACCTTAAGGCTGGAGAGAGCCTCCACTGGAGAGGATTTTTCCAGTTGCGTGGATTTTTTGTGGGGTAGAAAAAGGAGAGCTAAAGATTTCAATGGGATCTTGTTGAAGATATGGTTCTCTAAACTTTTCACAGGCTCCACAACTTGCCATTTTTGATACTGCAAAACTTGAGGGAGCAATATGAGCTTGCATTCTACCTTTTTGCAGTTGGTATTCTGCCTGGAAGCTGGCTTGTTTTGGATAGTCCTTCAATACCCATACTGGGTTTTAAGTCAAGAAGGGAATCGGCTCCCTTAAATAGCTGTGAATTTTGTCTCTGTTAAGATCATCTTTCTTTCTAGCCATCATCACTGTCACCTTCCAAATATTTAAATATAGAAATATCAACAGACTTCCCTTTCTCATCCTTCCTGGCCAGCAAGAAAAATACTCGGTTATAAAAAGTGGTAAACATC